GCGATGCGGCCAAAATTGTCTTGTCACCAGTAGCCACGACAACACCGATACAGGTGCCAGACACGCAGTGCGTGCCTTGAAGACCGATACAGCGTGTCTCGAGGTAATTTTCGTTCGTCGAGTCGACAGTAGCAGCAAGAGGAACCGATTCACCTAAGGCCTCACGGTCAGCACGCTCTGCAACCTTGAGTCAGTAGGGGAGTAGCAAGACTTACCAGTCAGAATGGAACGATCAAAGCGAGCATCAGACGAAGCACCGATGAAGCGAACATCAGCAGGCAGTTTGTTGCCCATCTTGATGGTCAGGATGTCGCCAGGTACGATCTCCTCGGCCAGCAGTGTCAACTGGGCGCCATCACGCGTGACAAGACAGTGGTCAGGTAGCATCGTCTTGATGGAGGCCATGACACGGGATGAAGACCAATCCTGCCACATGTTGAAGGCGGCCTGGATAAAGAAGACAGCGAGCAGGACGATGGCGAGGGCCAGGTTAGCCGGCGCCGGGGGCTTGCCCAGGGGCCGCCAGGCGATGAACACGAGGATGGCAGCAACGAGGAGAATGGGACCGAAGCCTTTGAAGAAATAGCCAAGGAACTTGCGCGTATGATGGGTAGGAGGATCGGAGGGGGCATTCTTGCCATAGTGTGCCATGCGGCGAGCGACTTGATTGGGAGAGAGACCTTCGGTGCGAGAGGAAGAGAGTCGACGCAGAATCTCTTCGGGAGAGAGCGTGTGCCAGTCGAGCTGTGCAACCTCTGTTGGCGCGATGAGTTAGGCTTGGACTCAACACACATTCAGGAGATGTCACAAGAGGCTTTAGACGAACCTGTTGTAGCAGCATTCACTTTCTTCTGCTGTCCCTGTTGCTTGTTGTAATCGTCAATGTCGATGGAGACAGTACGATACTGCACGGGGAGAGCGGCCGCAACATCGATCGAGTTACGCCTCGATCGGATGGAGTGTACGGCGAGAGATTCGGTAGACAGGCCACGACGCAGGGTCGGGCGAGCCTTCTTGCCGGCTTCCTCATCGTCATCCCAACGGATGCGTTCTGGGGCAGGAGATTTGTTCTGAGACGGGTCCATAAGGAAGGGGGACAATGATCACAAGTATTTTTTTTTACGAAGGATCTTGAAAGTGGAAGGGGTGAGAGAATAGAGAGAATAGAAAGAGGGAGAAGAGAGGAGAGACAGAGAACGCCGATGGAGGTTGCCGGACATGCCTCCATCACCAGTTCTTAGTAGCCCCTTTATACATAGCAGCACACATCTACACTCGCCCACCAGAAAAAGGAGGGCCAACTGGCAAAAGCGGCAGAACGACAGAAGCCAGGCATCCAGGCTGGTCTGCCTTCCGGCTACATTACGAGACGAGGAGACGATACTCCATCAGGGAAAATGCTGCTGACCCAGTTGAGGGCATTCTGATGCAAATCCTCCCTCATCTCTCACATCCCGCGAGACTCATCACGGTTAGCACTGAGGCGATGCTGGATGGGGGATGCGGGCGCCCTGCGGTGGTTGGCGACCCGGGTAAGGACCCAGATGGTCCCCCGGGGAGCAAGAGAGAGAGAGAGAGAGAGGCAGAACGTGCGAAATTGCTTTGTTCGTTCATAGTAAACAACAGGCCTCTCGAAGTCTTTCCCCGCTCAGGCTCGTGCCCTATGGACAGCAAAAAAGCTGTGGCCATGCTACCTCTGCTGGCCGTTGGCGCCAGGGCTCGCGCGTACTGTGACCGAGAGCAGACGAGTCGTCGGATAGGAGACGGGGCATGTGAGCTACGGCACGACAAGGCAAGGCAAGGCGAGGTATGGCAAGGAAACGGGGACTGGCGCGCGTGGATCTGGATGGATGCAATCTCAGTCAACGTGGCGCTGTCGGGGATTGACCGAAATGCAGCAAGCAGCTCAGCGCAATAAAGACAAAGTCAGAAGCGACAAGCAAGGCAAAAGCAGGCATGGCCCATGACATACTGAAAAAAAAATCGCTCATACCGCCAGCATCGTGGAAAATTGAAGAGGACGTGAGGTCAAGTCTTATATCTCGAGATGCCAAGTATTTCCTAGCGCAAGTTGGCTCCCGGGGAACAAGTTAGTGACAAGGAACGCAAGTCTTGGCCAGGGATCCACGAGACCGACAGATACCTAGCTAAGGTAGCTCGAGCTGCACAGCACGGGTCCCCCTTGGCTTGGCTTGTGCTTGGCTCCTCTTCTCGCTCTCCCTCCGCCCTTGTCTTTGTTTTACTTTGCCCCTGGGCCCCCTTGACATTTTGGTGCATCCGACGGGCACTGCCACGATGGAGCATGCAGGCAGGTCGCGGGAGGAAGGGGGGTAAAAAGGCGGAGCGTCCTGTGGTCAGTGGGGGTCGACTAGACTGAATAGCGAAAAGAGGATTGGATGTTAAGGTAACGGAATCTTCCTCACTCGTCGGTGAGCGATGAACCCACGAGCTTTGGAGCTAGCGAGCGGGCGTTAAAATGTCTCGATGATGTGAGAGCGGGGGTTCACATCTCGTAACACGCCTGAAGTAACTGGAGAAAATGACGGAGCGTCGTATTGATTGAACGCAGAGGCCGGAAGACAGGATCAGAGTAACTCGGCACGGAGGAGAGGGGAGACCCAGCGAGCGAGATGAGGGCGCATAGGAGCATGTGGTGGACATGGATGGGATGGAAGGCTGATGACGCCGCATGCCTGAGCCGAAAAGTAAATCAAAAGCCATGGAAAGCCTCGGGATGGGAAATACCACTTTGCTGTGCATTCCCCATCTTGGTTCGTCAACGATTGCCCCTTCTCCCCCTCCTCTTCTCCTCCTCCAGCATTCAACGTAACTATGGCAGTCGGTCTGACCGCCTGGGCATCGAAGTCGGCCCACGAGGACGGCTTTTAGGGCTTCCGCAAACAGCTACTGACCGCTTGGCCCCAAGCAAACGGCTGGGTCTCGTCCCTTGTCGCAATCAACAGAGCAGACTCTAGTCAGTATTGCGACGTGTCCCGCCACCCTCGTACCGGGAGAGAATGGCTCATAAACCTCGTCCTGTTTTCCTCATGATACACATCTCATAAGTGCCCATTGTCGTCGTGGCTGTCGTTGTCAAATAAACACCGGACCTTGATGTGCGGCCCGGGGTCGATGCGCCGATCTCTCTAAACCCCCTCTTGGCACGACCTTCCCGCAGCCTCTTCCCGTCCTCCACCACCCAGTAGGACCTAACGTCGTGGGCGGCCTCCTTGGCAAAATCCGATCTCCAGGGTAGGGTCTTCCACAGCCGGCCCCCCGAGTCGTTGGATCAAGGGGCAGGCAACTGAATAGGGTGTATGAAATTTGACAGACAATGCAGCCCTGCAGTTTGTGTGCCCTCCACCCCCTCCCTCGTCGCTGGACCATCGCCGTTGCTGCATCCAGGTCGGCGACTTAGACACTAGTAGCCTAGCAGCCCCCTGTGAGCGAAGGAGGACGAGAGACGAAAGACGAGAGACGAGAGACGAGAGACGAGAACGAGCCGGGGTTCACCGTTGCCGAACGCAGAGGCCATGCCTGTGCAACGTGTAGTCAATGCCTGGCTGCTGCTCCTCATCCTAGGTTGCACGTCCCATGTGCCCCGTCCCACGTCTGAGGTTTGTCTGTCCTCCAAAGTCCACAGGTGGGTGAGCCATTTCACAACGAGTTTGGAGTTGGTGGGTGGTGGAGGGTCATGGGCGCGCGAAACACTTGTCCCTGTCACTCGGCTACTCCTAAAAGTCAAAATTCCGTAGCGGCTGGCCGTCATCTGCCCTTTGTCGCCCAAGGCCAAAAATGGCAACAATCCGACTCGCCTCGATCTGAACGACTCGCTCAGTCACTCGCTCGCTTGATCCGCTGCCGATGGCTTCGGCGAACGTGCCCGTTCTCGCGCGCCCACGCACACGTCCACGCACACCCTCGATCTTTGTTGCCGCACTTGGTTTCCGGTTCCAGCTCACGACCTACTCATGACGTCGACACACCAGACGAGTAGCCCCGGGACCTGGACTGAACTGGACTGGACTGGCTGG